TGGAAGGGACCTTAAAAACCATCTAGTTCCAGCCAAGTTTTGATCTTTCTGGAGTTGTAAAGTACACCCTATTTCAGTTAAAGATTTACATCTGCGGTGTGAGTTTTCCTAAGTGTTTGGGAAACTCTAGTTTTCATAATTAAAACACTGTGCGCATTAAAATAATACATAAAGACAGGGGATGTGGTGACAAAGGACATGAAAAGGCTAAGGCACTCATTGTCTTCTTTGCCATGGTCTTTACTTGTAAGATTGGTCTTCAGGAATCCCAGATCCCTGACACAAGTGGAAAGTCTGGAGCAAGGAAAACTTACTCTCGGTAGACAAGAATGTGTTTAGGGAGCATTTAAGCAAATTGGACATACGCAAGTCCAGGGGACCTGATGAGATGAATCCAAGAGTACTGAGAGAGGTGGCCAATGTCATTGCAAGGCCACTTGATAATCTTTGACAGGCCTTGGAGATTGGTGGAGGTTCCTGAGGACTGAAAGAAAGCTATCTTCAAGAAGGGCAAAAATGAAGATTCAGAGAACTACAGGCTGGTCAGCCCCGCTTTGATCCCTGGGAAGGTGATGGAGCAAATAATCCTGGAAATAATTTCTAAGCATATGAAGGACAAGAAGGTGATTCTGAGTAGGCAGCATGGATTTATGAAAAGGAAGTCATCATAACATAAAACCTTTCAACATAAAATGCTGCTGAAAATTCCAAATTTTTGGCTCCTCATTTCAACTTTGTTTACTATTTCTTTTCCATCTTGTTGGTCAGAACATGATTTTAGTTCTGGATTTAATTTGAGCACTTATCACTGAGCAGTTGTTCTCAAGCACGCTTTTCTGTCAGCAGTTCACCCAAGGAAACTATATTGCCTCTGTGATCTTTTGATTTAAAAGTTTGCTTTTGAAGTCAGTTGATAGTCTGTAAGGAATCCTGAGTATTGTCAATGTTTCAAAAAGGTTCTGGAACATCTCTTGTAAAGTCATCAAACCAACCACTTGTGTCCTTGTGGCCTGTTAGTAACATTTTCTGTTAAATATCTTTCTGCTTCCTATCCGTGCTGGGAGAAGCTCTCTAATCTGCCTTTACTATCTTCGTGGGGATACCACCATACTTGCAGTACGGTTGCATGTGGTTGTGCACCTGTTATGTTGCAGTGTTTGCCATCTGGACAATCAGAGTTGCTGTGTTTTAATCTTGTTCTTTCCCTGTTGTGTTTTGTCATTATGGAGGAACTATGTGTATTATTTTTTGAGCATTTGACATGCATTTCAGCCAATCTGTCTAAAATTATCATGTCTGGATATGTACCATTACACCAGTACAACCTGAAAGAAGCAAACAAAGAAATGGACAGTGTCAAAGATAACAGCAATTACAGAGGAATTGTAATTACAGTTCATTACAATTACAGTTGTTGTGTGGCAAGTAGCTACTTCCCTGTCTGCACCCTGATAAGAATGGCAGCTTCTCGAAGTGAAGCTTCGGATGCTAAAAGAAAACCTTAAGCTGTTAGGACCCGTTGCTGCCAGATCTAATAAAAAGGTCAAATTGAGTCATTTATAAGGCACTGCCTTCGCACCATTCAACAGAGGCAAGGAAGGAGAGGCATCTTTTTGCAGGAGATGTCATGGAACAGGAATGCCAAAACATATCTGCCAGATGGCTTATGGGGAATGCAGTGTAAGATGCTGCTGCTGGTTGACATCTGTTTCTCTAGGAGATTAAAAAAATGTTGGGAAATAATTCAAAGCATTTCAGCCTGTTTAGATCTGCAAAGTTAACAGTGTGAGCAGTTTCTGGTCCAGAGACTAGCTTGAGGAATGATTGAGTTGAAGTTTCTGAATCCAAAGAAGGTCACAAAGAGGGTGCTTTCATAGGGAAGTGGACAGAGAAGGCACAAACAAAAAGGGTGATGGAAGAGGTAGCCAGAGGCGGTGTGATAGCTCAAGTATAAGCCCTTTGGGGTAGGATCTGTGTTTTTATGTATGAATACAGTGTCTGGTGTGTTGGGAATGAAGTCTTCTTGCTGCATGCCAAATGTGAATTTAGTAGAATTTGCTAGGACTTGCCATTCCCCCACTAGCATCAACCAGTAAAATGTGCATACTTCTGTCACAGGACATAATCATAAAATGATGTTGTATAGCCTCCCAGTTTAGATCAGAACAGTCTGCTCAGATTGGGTGCTACTATGAGACAAATCTTTCATAATAATAGGGAGCTCATTTCTGCACTATTTTTCTTTTATTAAGTGCTAAGGTCATAAGTAGGTGGCTTTACTTTCAGTGTTACTCCAATATGCCAGTTTTTGCAATGAAAAGCTTGAATAATATTCATGGTGTAAGTCTGCTAATTTCCAGTTTTTATTAGTAAACTAATGCTTGGCAGGGAAAAAAAAAAAAAGGTGAAAAAACCCGAAAGCCTTTTTCCAACTATATGCACAATATTTTCTTTTGAGTATGGTATGCGTTGGTGTACTTATTTATTAAGTTCTTCACTTTCATAAAATTTACAATTTGTGTGTAATAAAACACAGTTTTATGGGATATTTTTAGATTTCCTGAAAATATTTGACTCATTTTGCAACAAAGCAGTAGTAATGGGTAGGGGAGGAGCAAGATGTTATTGTTAGAAAATATACAAGTTTGAAAAAACTCGCCAGCTATATGCTTGACTGGTTGCTGAAATGCTGGAAGAAATGTTACTAAGTGTGGAATTACATCATCCTTCCTCTATACACAGGAAAAGCCCAAGGAAATATCATTTGTCATAGGACCTACGCTCCATAATCTGAAATGCCACTTTACTGCTAAGAGCAAAAGGATAAAAAACCAAACAAACAAAAAGCACACAACCCCCCCCAAGAGCCTAAAGAAAGTAGTGATGAACAATTCAAATCAAATCAGCTTTTTACTGAAGTAAAAAAAAAGGGGGAGGAGGGAGAAATCCTTCGGTTTGTTAATAATTACAGTTCAAAGAGAAAAAAAAAAGTACACAGAGAAGATTGTGCACATTAATGTTCCTTTTATATTTTACTCCTTATATCTACAGAAATTTATGATTATTTATAAAATCTGACACTGGAATCATAAAAATCTAGTCAATGCCTTTGCCTGCAGATCTGAATCCCATTTCCTTGTCCACAAGTGCAAAAAAGAGCTTAACACAGGGGACTCCCACAACACGTAGAAAGGGAGAGGGGAAAGTAGCATCCTCTCCTTCCAAAAGCAAGGAGCGCATAATGATGTCCACCGGCATCACTGCAGTGGTGACAGACCTGTGATGTGTGCTTCCTCCTTGCTTGCTGAATGACCTGTTTTGCTGAGGGCTCAGAGCAGCCACAGACTCCATGAGCCGGAAGCTGGACCTCAGACAACTCCCTGAGGTAGCAAAAACAAAGCCACTGCTTAGCTGAGCCGAAGCAGGATTCATGGACTTTGTGCTAAGACTCACACTGTCCTGCTTTCCATGGTGCAAACACTGTGTATTGGACTTTCTGCAGGCATGGAAAGAGAAATAATCAACTTTCTCAAGCCTGGGGTAGACTAGAGGGAGACAGCCACAAAAGCAGTGGTTGTGTTTGTCTCCGAGGAACAGAGGGGATCTTTCTTTCTGCCTTATTTTTAGCAGTTATATACATTTCTGTGATGGACAAATGCTGGTATTATGTGAATCAGAGCTGACACATAGCTTTAGAGTAAAAAAAACAGATCAAACCCTCTGTGGTTCCTTGATCACCACTGAAAAAAACCCAAGCCAATCAAATTCTATCTAGACAGAGGTTTAGTCAGTATTTCCACTGGGCAGTTAATGTGAATTGCTCCTGTTATGAACCATCTGAAGGGTTTTCAGGAAGATTAAGGTCAAGCGTGTTCAAACCACACAATACAGAGTTGAAACTAGCCAGTGGTGCTCACCGGAGCTTGATGTATTTCAGAACAATGAAATGGTACTCACAGAGTGAAACTCAGTCTTTTTTCAAGAGATGCATGTATGAGTGAGCTTCAAGTGTCAGTCAGAGGTTGGGAACACAACAATGTTCTTGCCATCCATGATATCAGCACTTCAGAATACGCCCCTGGTGGACCTTGCAGTTGGCTATTACTCAAATCCATAATAGTTCAGGACATGCTAGTTGAGGGGCTGTTTTTCTCCATGTGCTGTACTCTTCCTGTTGCATGCACTAGAGATATTTACAACCAATACACCCTTGTTTTCTAAGGAGGGAAATCAGTGGCAAGCTGGTCAGAAGTGTTCTGCAGCCCACTCGAATTCCTAATATTTCAGTGTCTTTTAATTTAAAACCTTAAGGAATCTTTAGACTTCAGAGTTCATTTTCCAGCTCTTGGCCTGAAATAGTTAATTCCTCAAACTACAGCTCATGTTACAAAGCTGATTTGCAGGCATTTGATGTTGCTTTGAGAATATGTTTTGAGCATGGAGAGACTTCTGTTTTTGTAAGAATTTTTGAGATTCTACTGTTTAGTTGTTTCTTAATTTATGGCAGAGCAGCTAAGAGATGAGGATAAGTATCTTCTATAGTGTTCAACCTGAAATATGCAAATAAAGAAATAGAGGTCTAGTGTCAGTACTGAGCATTAAAACAAAGAAAGAATCTTTGGAAGGTACAGTACCTTTTTTTAATTTTTATTTCTTTTTTTTTTCCTGAAGTACTTTATTGCTTTCCTAAAACAGGATATAGAAAAACTGTAATTAACCAGTCAAAATATACAGAGTCAGATTACTAATGAAACACTCATTTGGGACTAAATCCCAGTCTTGATGAAGTCACTGGAAACAAAGGATGCAGAGAACCTCAACTGAAGTGGCTGAGTACCTTTGAGGACTGGCCTCTCTTTCCAGAGAACTGAAAAGATGAATTTGAGATTTGCCTGCAGAGGAAGTTGTAGCATGACAACACAAGGATGTCACTGTTCAGAAGGGCTGTCTTGGATGGAAATAGCAGTTGCTATGATTACAGCTTCCCTTCATTCTTCCAGGTGTGTCTGCTCAGCTGACCAGCACTCGTCTTCGTCGGAACACCTCCGTGGGCACCCCATTCTGGATGGCTCCAGAGGTTAGATTCATGTGATTTTGTCACTGGCATTTGAGCTGCCACATTCTGCATTTCTGCCCTTTCTTTGTCTTTTTTCCTGACCAGTGGTCCTTTCACCAAATGAAATAGCAATGTCCTTTAAAAAAAGTGTTTTAAAGCTTTTTTCTTACATGTTTGCAAGGATTAAGTTAAAATGGAATTTATTTTCGCAATTATAAGGTTAGAGCCAGAGAGCAAGATGTTAAATTGCTTACTGAAATGTTAAAGAGGAGAGAGTACTACCATTGATCCTTTCCAGCCTTCCAAGCTCTGAAACTATAGGTATCTCATCTCTCCATGGATTGAAGGAGCCCAGGGCAGTACTGTGATACATTATAGCTTTTATTTTTTGATTTCTGCACTGGAAGGTTTTTAATACAGAAAGAAATGGAAGAGGTTATTATGGATGAATAAGATGTACTATGTATCTTTGGAGATTTTTCCAGCCTGAAATTGAAGCATTTATAAATAAATACATTTTAAGCTGAGGCAGGAAAAATACTTTGTTATAAATAAGCCTATGTACTTGTGCTACAAACACATGCATATACATCTATTTATAGCACATGAAACTACTCTGTTTATACACGTGTATTTTTATAAACATACTCTGTTTATACACACCGGTCTAGCCATGTAGCTAATGCCATACACATTGCTTTACACCTATAGCTAGTGGGATGAAAAATTCTAGATTCATCTGACATTGTGAATGATCTGAAGTGTATATGAAATTAAATATATTTGCTGTAATCCAGTGGCAAACACATTGTCAAGAAATTAGCTTGTTCTTGAAACTGGCTGGTTTGGCTGAATAAGGACCCGGTAGAAGATAGTGAATTCAACAACTTCTTTCCTGCTTGTTTCACTTCATAGAGAGAGCAATATAGCTCCATTAGTTACTTTGCAGGAATAATTCATAGACAGAGATATAAAGTTGCTTATTTTCCTTCTACTTCCCTCAGCCATGGGACGCAGTTGACCACCTTCAGCTGAAAAAGCCAAGGAATTGCACCGTTTTGTCAGATCAGGGAACATCTGGACAGAGAACCTGGTGTTCATGTACACCTGCTTTCCCTAGTTTAAACATCGCTTTTTTTTCAGCAACGGGATGCTTTACCTAGCTAAATATGTGCAAGTGTGTTTATTTCACCAAGTATCTCCATCCTGTATGAGATTCCCCCCTACTGTGGGAGTACTCTTAAATTTGGACATTTGACCATCCAGTGACCATCCCAATCTTTTATTCCAACAGGTGATTGCCTGTGAGCAGCAGCTAGATAGCTCCTATGATGCCAGATGTGATGCATGGTCACTGGGTATTACTGCAATAGAGTTGGGAGATGGAGATCCACCCCTTGCTGATTTGCACCCTATGAGGGCACTCTTCAAAATACCAAGGTAATATCTTGATGTGATTATTTCTTGTCAAGTTAGACTGAACTTCTTCTTTTTAACTGTTACTTTCTTCAAACTTAGTCTGTGTAAGTTTGTGAAGCTTCTTCATATTATTTATACTAGGAGGAGGTTAGAAATACTTTGTCCAGCTGTATTTTCTGCAGGCTCTGCTTTAACCACGGGCACGCAATGAGAAGCTCAGAACTGACTGGGCCTACATGTGAGAAAAAGCCATAAGGCCTTCTCCTGAGTGGACTGTTGCTCAGTATTGCAGAGCAGAGGGGCTTAGCTGAGTCCAATATATTCTGTTACAAAGAATGACTTATGATAGAAATAGAGTCTGAGTATGCCTGGGTATGGTGAACAGGCCCCTTACCTGTCTTCAAGAGTTAATCTCATGCCCTTTCAAGCAAAATATTGTTCCACCACTCACATATATTTAGGCTGCCACTTTCCATTAGCTTGTGCTGCTCCTGACAGTTCCAGTGTTGCTGTCCTTGGGCAGTGCAAATAGCAACTTTTTGTGTTTTCTTTAAAGCTGGAGATAAAAGTACCCAGAGTGCCACTTACAGTGTTTCAGAGAACATCCATCTCAAAGTCCATAGGGGATGATCGTGCAGAAGTTTGTGGATTTCACTCTTAACAGCTGGAGGAGTACCGCAACAGCTGAGACCATATAGTATACCTGAGTGCTTCAAGTCCTTTTCAGCCAGGTCACCCAAATTAGTTTAAATTACCTTCAGGTTTAAGAAATTTTTGCTGACTTGGCACTGAAGCAGAGCATGAATGCTCTTCTTACCTTTAACTGCTATGGGAGAAGCAGTTACAAACTGCTGTGGTCAGTCATTTCAGCTAGGCCTTCAAGAAAATATCTGGCTTATACCCTTACAAATAATGGGCACCTTTCTGCTCTGGAGCAAATATAAGATCAATATCCTTTCATTCCCTTAAGTAAAACCTGAAAGTGATAGAGCAAATATTAAGCAGCACTTAAAGAAAAGCAGTTATGACATTTGATTGAAAACAGACAAGTCACCTTGTCTATAGGTAATTCCTTTTGTCTTTATGACTGTACTCAGTGAAAATGGCACCTCTGAATGGAAGAAGACTGTGAAAACAATTTGAAACAAATTAACACCTAGAATAAACAGCTCTAGCAACAGAAAAAGAAAGTAGTATTTATTTACAATAGATCTATATTTAGTCCTTGACTTGACTTCTGATTAGCTTCTGATGAATGAGAAATAGTTAAGAGCTAGTTCCGTCTGACATTTTGCTCAGTTAGATGATTAATTTAGTAATTAATTTCTGGGAAAACTTCAAATAGAATTTATTTTTAAAAGTTATCTTAAGAAAGTATATTGTTATTGAAAAGAGAAACTTGCTTTTGTAAGTGAATAGTGATTAATGGGTTGTTAGTTTCGTTTCTGTTTACCGATTTGATTGCAAAAAAAAAAAAAAAAAAGATTCTTAGCTATGCTTGGTAGATCATCTCCATGCTATTTCTCCTTGTTAGTTATGTGAAGTAGGAGAACCAGCGAGGTATTGTATCATCTACCCATGCTCCTTTTACCAGTGGAAATCAATATTTTTTTTCAGTGGCCTTCTAAAACTCGTTACTCAGCCTGCCTTCACACACTGTTTTTGTCAGGAGAGTAGCTTATTAACTTATCATCACACTGACCTTTGCAGGAATCCTCCTCCAACGCTACAGCAGCCTGAACTGTGGTCACCTGAATTCAATGACTTCATTAAGAAGTGAGTAACAACTGAGATCACTGTAGCTGAATATGCAACATGTGTAAATGTCAAGTGTAAAATATCTTTGTATTCTCTGTGGGAATCTGTTGCTACTAATACTCCTCCTTAAAACCCTAGTTTTTAAATCCATTTTGACTTCCAAGTGAGGCTTCAGATTTAAAACATGAAATAACAACATTTTAAAACACTTGACATTTGTTTTTTTCTTAATTTAAATAATATTTATTTTTAAAATGCAGTAATTTAACTTCTTGGACTCATAAATTCTGTGAAACCTTAACAATTTTCAGTACAGAGCTGTTGGGGTTAAGATGGATATATTTATTAGGAGTCATGAATGAACTACAGACAAGCATTACAAAAGTTACCAGTGATCCCTCAATGATCATATCCTTTTTCTGCCAGTACAGGTGCTTGACTAAAGATTATGAGAGGCGTCCGACAGTATCTAGTCTTTTGCAGCATGATTTTATTAAGCAAATTGAAGGAAAAGAAAACATGCTACAAAGGCAACTCATGGAATTTATTGATGTGCATCAACAAATGGGAGTCACTGAAAAGGCAAGGTAAAAGTATCTAAAAAGTAGACCAGTTGGGACAATTTTGATGCTTTCACTATTTTGGAATGGCTAGTGTTCAGAGAAAGATTCACCTCTCATAACTTTACCTGGCCAAAAAATAGAGAGTTATATTAATCTTTGGGGTCTTCTATAGAGCCAATGGAAAGAGAGGGGCATTATGTTTCATACATGGGGCGAAGTAATCTTTAGAAGTGCCTCCCCATTCTCCTGTGACTCAAGATGCAGATTAGGATCCCAGCTTTGAGAAAGCTAAGGAAATTAATAATAGGCATTTTCTTCTGTTTGCATGGTCAGTTTATGTTTAGTTTAAGCAAGTATGCCAAAAATTACTAGTCACGTTATGGCAAGAATTTGATGCAACTGACTGAAAGAAGTGATAGTGGTACCATACTTTGTTTTACAAACTTCAAATCTTATGTCTTATTGAATATTTTCTTTCTTCCACTAATGTTTAGTAATATAATTTCTGAATAAATCACTTAGCACCTGATGGCTTCTATTTAAAACAACTGGAAATAGCTTGGCTCAATTTTACAATTTAGAAAAAAACACCCAGTACGCTTAAGTAATATATCAGGTATGATATTATAGATTATTATTGATATACTACTGGTATGACTGCTCTTGTGCTTCAAGGTAGAGAATTTTTATTTAAATCAAAGATAAAATTAAGACATTTTGGCATTATCATCTGTATCGAAAAAGCTTACTAAAATCTGCCACATTTCCTTTCACACAGATTTATAGTAACATTATATACAGCAGTCTGATATATATATTTGAAGAGAATAAAAAGTATATTTCTAAATAATTTACGATTTTCAAGTTTTCTTGTACTTTAAGTGGATGTGGGATGAGTAGTAGTTTCTCTTTTCTGGCATGTCATTAAAAAACTATGCAGTTGGCTTAAATTTAAGCCTCAGACTGGATTTGTATGTTCTGTGTAGTGCAGACTTGACATTTGCTTAATCCAGAAAGATTCTGGAGTTGAAATAAGCTTATTGGGTGTCAGTGCTGAGCACTAGAACAGCGACATACACCAGACTTTAAAAAGTATTAATTTGTAAACCACAGGGAAATGGGTATGTGGTAAAATAAGTCTAAACCACTACATTATATGAATTGAAATCCTGATGACACTTGTGACACTGGTCCTTTCAAAGCCTAAATAATTTTTGAAAATCAAGCTTCTAAAAGTCAGTTAAGTATTGTGAGTTTTTTTACCTATTTTATAAAACTCATATGTTTGTTTTCTACCAAGTTCTATTTTTTTTAAGAATACTTTGTTTTTTTTCATGTGAATGCTGCATAAAGTAAATTACATTAACTTTCTTTTCCTGTACAACACAAACATAAAGAAAGTGGCTCAGTTTGCATGGGCATAGAGCAGTCAAATGGCACAGGAACAGGACGATCTGCTGGTGTTTTCTCCATCCTGTTTAGACTGTATTTTGTTAACTGATCACTCTTCACATGAACCAGAGTTTAAGGGAATGTATTTACTATGTGATGAAGTTACCTGTTTTACAGTTGATCAAGTGTAAATTTTCCCAAAGAAAGACAGAACTTTCTCTCTGAAAATAATAATAATTTATTATCTGAAACTGGGCAAAAAAATTTACTTATTTAAGAAGAGTGTAATTTAAATGGCATGCTTAAACTAATAGCTTAAACTAATAGCTAAATTTCAGTTTAGCGGTTTAAAATGCTAAAAGTAGACTGATACTGGCTTAAATTTCATTTGCATTGATTTAACCAAATAATTTCATATCTGAGATCAGTGAATGTAGCATGAAATACTGCAAGTAAAAGTCACATTTTACAGTCACTGTACCTATAATCACTTCAGCTTTAACACATTTATTAACTACTTTTGATGGAAGATTGTCTTTCGTAGCAGTGCATGCATGAAACGATTAGCCTTGTCCTAGAAACAGTAAGAATACCTATCTTAATATCTATTTCTATCTCTGTACAAGCAAGAGAAGCAAACGTTATTTTCCAGTAGCCATAGTAAAGTATGTACATGATTTCACGTCAGAAAAAATTAGAATTCCAAGCCTGTAAAGGACATTACTCCAGAATAGCATTTGTTGTTTCTGCTGTTGAATGATAAAAAGATTGTTATACAAAGATCTTTGAATTCAACAGTCATACTTTAAAAAAAATTCTTTAAATACTAATGATATGTATCTTCTGACCTTCAATCTGCACAGAGCAAATGGTGTCAAAAGCAGTGTCTGTACAGAAGTACCATGTAAATATGATTCAAAGTCAAGACATAGGCTGTGTAGTAACAAGTCACCTGGAAGCGTCTCATCTTAAAATCTCCTGGCTTTCTCTTCTTGATTATCCTGTTCTGGGACTGGTTTTACACTGACATGTTAGGTCCATACTGTGGAATCGCTAAACTTTCACCAATTGCTGGCAGCTTTCCTTGTAAAGCTCCTTTCCAGCTCATGCTCTCTCAGTCCATAATTTGAAGGCATAGCTCTCCTAAATTTGGTAACATTGACTTAAAGCTGAAACTAAGAAATCCAGTTATTTTCTCAGGATTTGTTTCCTTTCCTCTTCAAATTCAACTTTATTAGTAAAAGTTTTGTATTTCAAAAGAATAAAGAAAAATGGCTGGAAGTTAATAGCTGAGGTCCAGCCACTGGGTCTTCCTGTGTGCACTATTCCTCTTTTCACTCAAAATCAAATCATCCTCTTTGTCCAGCATGCTGAGGTTTAGTTTGGTTCTGACTGCCTTCTTGCAGTGGTAGTCTGTTGATGTGCTTGTGATCTTGTTGTTTGCTGAATGTGCAGTTGATGTAGTTCAAAAAGAAGAGATCATGTTAGGTTATGTCATATTGCCAGAGATTTTTGCAGAAGGCCAGATCCTCAGATCCAGTCTTTGTGCACTAGGTCTGCTTGGGAAGGGTATGTGATCTCCAGGCACAGAGTGGAGCCACCTTACAGTCACTCCCATTAGCGCCATTGTCCTGAGGTATTTTCTAATATTGTCAAGTCACTGAGTCATTAGGGCATTGCACTGGACCCTCTGAACCTTCCTATTGTTGTTATTCTAGGGAAGAGGAACATAGTTTTAGGCTCTGCATTGTACTGCATCCTTTCTAAACACCTAGCAAGAGGAACAGAGCCCACCAGCCTCCTGAGTAACCAGAGAAAGCTCAAGTTATGCTGATGAAACTAAATGGCAATATGCCATAGAACTGCTCCAGGCTTAATGAAAGTGCTGAGAATTGTACTGGTTTTTCAGTAGCCTCCGAACAGTCTTATAGCAGTAGCATACCTTGTGCTACTAGAGGCTCAAAAAAGCATTAATACTAGCAGTGAGCTTCATTACAAATTCCACATTTTTACTTTGAGCAAATGCAATACATTTTTCTCTGAAGTCATCACTTCTGTATGCTAAAAGTATGTGTTTGCAATTTAACCTTTCCTAGTTTAGTTCTCAAGATGAAATTACAATGGGAAGAGCTTGATACATTAGCATTTTTCCATAGCATCTTGACTGAAATGTCTCTAAAATCTGCTGTTTTGAATGATGAAGTAAGCTATAGGAGATAAATTCATGTTAGGGAGGAAATAAAGCAGTCAAAGTTGCTTACTAAGTGCAATTAATTCTTGGGGTTTTGTTTATCATTTGGATCCACTGAACTGTGAATTCCTGGTGAGGAGAGTCAACTTCAGGACAAGGGCCTTGGGCTTCTGCAAGAGCTGCCTTTGTCATGGCTATGGCAAGAAAAGCCTATTTCATTGTGCAACTTCATAAGGTGGTATTTGCCTCTTTCAGAGGGGTTCACAACTCATAATCATCCTGATACTTCTTTTCCCTCAGTCTTTTCAAATTGATGAACTTTCAACTAATAGAAGAAATTCTGTTACATCCTAGTAGTACGATCTTGAGGTTTTACACAACTAAATTTCATCCTGTATCTGTTACTCCAGTCCTTGGGACCACTTAGCTCTTTAAATACTGTATTCCAATTCTTTCTTGTGTTGATAATGACACAAAAAGCACGATAATGGAATTTATTGCACAGTCATTAATGAAAATAAGACAAATTCTCTAATGAAACAACAATAACCTTATTTGAGCCTGATCATTCACCTCTGGACACTGCCTAAGTTTCCCCTCATATTTAGCAAATCCTATGGTCACATACTTATATTCCTGCATGTCACATTATAGCTGTTAAAATTTACAATTAGTAATGAAAATAATTATTATAAATAAGTGCTGCAGCATATATACCCAAACTGTTCTAAAAATACACTTCTTGCTAGGCCAGATGAAGGAAAAAAACTGCCTTAGTAAAGAGTTTCACTTTGCAACAGAAATAGCTGTCTTTGAAATGGCCTTCAGAACTGTCGCATCTACACCTGACAGTCAGGCTTGTAAGACTTTTATCTTGAGTTGTTTGGCTGTCTTAATCTTGACTGCTTTTACAATAATCTCTGCAGAAGTATGCAATGATTAGTACAATGTGTATTTCCTGGGAATTATGACTCATTCCAGAATGAGCTGCATATGCAAGGGATATTCACTGCACCTAGATTTCAGCAACTGACTGGTCCTCAAGTTAAGAGCCTCATGCCATCTAAATAAATATCGAAAAGAGACTTATTCTACTGAAAAGTGATTCAGAGAAAGGGCTTTTGGGTGAGCTGAACTGTCCTCTAAGATTTTGTCCTTTTATGCTGGCCATGTAGTGATAGCACTGAAATCCTTTGCAAAAAAAACATGCACGAAGTTGTCAATTTATTCAATCCTATTAAAAGCAGGGAGTACCATACAGTTGCCTTCCATGACTTTCCCTGATTGTGCAGAGTAGTATCACTTATTTTATGGGTGTTCTTTCTTTCTGTCTCTCCGACTCATCCTGACAGTGGAAAGCAGCTGGTAGCAATCCTTCAAGCTCAATTCTGCAGTAAAAGCTGTAGCGGAGGGTAGGAGATACCACACTAGCTTGACAAAG